AGATGTTTTTCTGGTCGGCTTGACAGAGTGAACACGAATCATTCGTGTCTGGGCTGGTAACAACAACAACGTTTGTTTACATAACTCGCCAACCTTCTACACACTCATTTGTTTATTCATTTAATCTTGTTACTCACCTCTCAATTTACATTAAGACTACAGATATTTTAAGGTAAGTAATGAGTGGACACGATTATTACCTGGAGTTTACCTGGAGAGAGTTCCAGGGGTCAACGCCCCGCGGCCCGGTCTGTGACCAGGCCTCCTGGTGGATCAGAGCCTGATCAACCAGGCTGTTGCTGCTGGCTGCACGCAAACCAACGTACGAGCCACAGCCCGGCTGATCAGGAACTGACTTTAGGTGCTTGTCCAGTGCCAGCTTGAAGACTGCCAGGGGTCTGTTGGTAATCCCCCTTATGTGTGCTGGGAGGCAGTTGAACAGTCTCGGGCCCCTGACACTTATTGTATGGTCTCTTAACGTGCTAGTGACACCCCTGCTTTTCATTGGGGGGATGGTGCATCGTCTGCCAAGTCTTTTGCTTTCGTAGTGAGTGATTTTCGTGTGCAAGTTCGGTACTAGTCCCTCTAGGATTTTCCAGGTGTATATAATCATGTATCTCTCCCTCCTGCATTCCAGGGAATACAGGTTTAGGAACCTCAAGCGCTCCCAGTAATTGAGGTGTTTTATCTCCGTTATGCGCGCCGTGAAAGTTTTCTGTACATTTTCTAGGTCGGCAATTTCACCTGCCTTGAAAGGTGCTGTTAGTGTGCAGCAATATTCCAGCCTAGATAGAACAAGTGACCTGAAGAGTGTCATCATGGGCTTGGCCTCCCTAGTTTTGAAGGTTCTCATTATCCATCCTGTCATTTTTCTAGCAGATGCGATTGATACAATGTTATGGTCTCTATATTATAGTTTAAAAATAATATTATTAATATTAGTATATATGTATTATTGTAATAATAATAATAATTATTATTATTATTAATTTAGGGCACTGGAGCACAGATCCACTGTATAGCACTTTGTCTGGATTATTTGGGCTATCCTAGGTAATATATACTATGTATGATTACTTACGTGTACCTGTGAGATATGTATATGTATGTATGTATGTATGTGTATATATATATATTATATATATATATAATATATATATATATATATATATATATATATATATATATATAATGCAAAACAACCACTCTGAAAGAATAGAGAAATTCCAAGCGCTTTCGTGACTACTCACATTATCAAGGAACTATGAAAGTAAGGCATCCAAGGAAGCTATATAAGGGTCTGGCCGGCACCTCACTATCAGATCCCACAACGGTTAAACACGTGACGCGCGGCGAGCCAACTTGGATAGTCCTTGGCACAACTCACCCCACAAACTATTCTACCCAAGAAATAAGAAATTTTAAAGATTATTTGTCCAGTGTATTATTAAATTCTTCCCAAATTCTATCAATTATAAATGGATCTAATTTATATAAACCAAAGGAAATATTCATATTATTGTCAAAACTGCTTTTTATGAAACAAGATTCAATTATATTCCTGTCGACCATGGACTTGCTTGATACTACTTTCTCAACTTTTTGAAAATCAATTGGATGGTTAAAATCCCTTACATGAATAAATAGAGCATTGGAATCTTGTCCAGTTCTAATGCTATATTTATGTTGTTTTAATCTTAGTTCGAGATTTTTACCAGTTTGACCGTAATAAACTTTATCGCAAATTTTACAAGGAATCTTATACACACATCCATCAGCATTTTGGGGGGAATTCTTTATCAAAAGTTTTTTTACTGTATCAAGATTTTTGAATACAACTTTAATATTAAAAGTCTTAAGAAGAGAAGGCATATCAACCAAGTTTTCATGGTAAGGGAGAACCAACATATTTTTAGTTGAATAAGGCTGGTTGTCCCTTTTTGGATTGTAAAAAGTATTTCTAGCAACTTTAAAAGATTTATCAATTACATTTCTTGGGTATTTTAAATCATTACCTATTTCATAAATTTTGGATATTTCCTCATCTATGAACTCAGGACTACAAATTCGTAAAGCTCTCAAAAACATTGATGAGAAAACAGACAGTTTGACTCTATCTTGATGCGAGGAATAATAGTGGACATAGGAACAGTGAGGTGCCGGCCAGACCCCTTATATAGCTTCCTTGGATGCCTTACTTTCATAGTTCCTTGATAATGTGAGTAGTCACGAAAGCGCTTGGAATTTCTCTATTCTTTCAGAGTGGTTGTTTTGCATATTCTGAAATCACCTGTTTACTGTGATCTTATTGCATATATATATAATATAATATATATATATAATAATATATATATATTATATATATATATATATAATATATATATATATATAATATGAGAGAGAGAGAGAGAGAGAGATACAGAGAGAGATACAGAGAGAGATACAGAGAGAGATACAGAGAGAGATACAGAGAGAGAGAGAGAGAGAGAGCCACATTCAGTCAGCCAATCACCCACCCGGCCAGCCAGCCAGCTAAGTATTACACATGTTCCAGAGTTGTTTCTCTTTACTTAGGGTATAGGTTATACTACATTCTGGCAGGATGACACTACCAGTGGTATTCTCCCTTTCCACTGTGTCGACAATACATAAAGATAACAGTAACATATGATACTGTATGCGATGTAAAATTTACAATACAGTTCACTACCATGTATACATTATACATGTATACAGTAAATAAATAATTAAAATATAACAATAGAAGTAAATTACGTAAAAAAAATTAAATAATGATTGTACATTACATTACAGTATTATGTAGGTAGTTTATATAGGAAAAGTTCGACATGCCCTACCCAGTATGTCGGAAATTTTCAAAAGTTCGACTTACGTCCATTTTGACTTACGACCGGTTGGTCGGAACCAAGCTTGGTCGTAAGTCGGATGGTAGGTGTATACGGCTTATTTATATACGTATCACAGTTCATCTAATATGACATAACAAACAATATAAATAACATAGAAACATGATATATACTCTAGAATGAATAAAATATGTCATTATGTAACAGGTGGAGGTGGCCACAACCGCTCCCTCTTTGTTGTGGTAAACACTGCCATCTAGTGACGGCCTTTTGAAGCCATCTATTATTATAATTATTATATGTAGTATACATTATTATTATATTTATTATTTTATTATTAAAAATTCGCCGGTATTCTCCCGGCCTGGGCCTTGGCTCCCTCTTTAGGGAGTGTCAGATAAGATAAGATTTCATTCGGATTTTTAACCCAAGAGGGTTAGCTACCCAGGATAACCCAAGAAAGTCAGTGCATCATCGGAGACTGTCTAACTTATTTCCATTGGGGTCCTTAATCTTGTCCCCCAGGATGCGACCCACACCAGTCGACTAACACCCAGGTACCTATTTGCTGCTAGGTGAACAGGACAACAGGTGTAAGGAAACGTGTCGAAATGTTTCCACCCGTCGGGAATTGAACCCGGGCCCTCCGTGTGTGAAGTGGGAACTTTAGCCACCAGGCCACCGGGCCAGCCGCCCGGTGGCCTGGTGGCCGGAGGCACAAGTATCTCCTCATCTTTAGGACCAACTGTCCCCAGGCCTAGCCACAAGCTAGGCCTCTCTGGTCTGCCATCCCCGCCCCAAGGAGCCTAACGGGAATGACAGGCTTGTGAGCTGCAAGCTCGGGCTCAGGCACCTACCCTACCCTAAAAGGGCTGGGCATGGTGCCGATGATTATTATATATGTATAGTTATACATATTATATTATTATTATGATTATTATTGTATTATGTTATTATACTATTATTATTATATGTATTATTATTTTACATATTATTATTATATTTATTATTATTATTATAATTATATAAATAATTTGTAATTTTTATTCACACAAAAAATATAAGATTTACTGTTATTCCTTATTGCAATAATTGTATAAATAATGTCAACCCATTCACGGCTGCATATTGGAATGGACAGTGACGTCATTTGTTTACTTTGAAGCAGCCAAGCAATGGACCATTTCAAGGTACTTTTCGTCATGAAAGCGATTAAAATCATATCTATTTCTGTAATATATCTCCATTCTATCAAACAAGACCAAAAGAATGAGAATACAACCATAAAAACCATTCGAAATTACCGCAAAGGGGTGGCTAATTGCTAAGAAGTGAACTTCATTATTTATGCTTAGATTTCTTTCATTTTTGGTGTACGTTAAGAAGCATCTTCCCATCATACATTGCCCAAGTTTCAATAAGATTGTCCAACAAACAAATGAAATACAATTCCCGAGATCAAGAGCAAAAAGTCCCTCACCAGTGTCAAGGAACCTGCCTTGAGGTTTGCTCGCTTGTGGAAATTTTGCTCGCGTAAGTAAGCAAAAAATCAACCCATCTACTGCTCGTATTTGAAAAAACTCGCACGTGGACACACTCGCAAGTAGAGGTTCCACTGTATTACTATTATGATATTATTAAATAGTCATAATGAAGCATTAAACCCAGAGGGGGCATGCTGTGTTGGAAATGGGATGTAATCAGGTTTGACCTGAGAAAGGGGATGGCAGCTCCAGTTCCTTGAATCAAGAGCACTTCACTAGCATCAATGCACCACTTCCTCCAATGAAGGCTATAATCCAAATAATGTTACGTCTTTTTAAGTGACTAGTGATGCGATGTGGAGGAGCCTGGTGCATAATACTGACAAGTTGTGGTTAAAGACACATGAACTAACACTTAGAACATATTATTATGGAAATAATTTGGTCCTGGGACCTTGTTCATTCCATGGAGTGAAGAAGGACCCAGGACCAAAACATTTCAAAACTAACATGTCATAAGCTTTTGTTTAAGTATTTTTAACCATGTCATCACAGTGATGAATTCAACATGACAATGATTATAAACTAACCCAAAGTCTAGACTTTCTGCTATATTGGAGAATGGACAATAAAAGTGGCTTCAACTCACACACCAGGGTTCAGTGCCTGAACACCTGAAAAAACTGGGCATTTTTTCTTACACATGCTGCCCTGTTCACCTAGAAGTAAGTAGGTCCCTGGGTGTTAGCTGCTTACTGAAGTCACATCCTGGGGAAGATGATTAAAGGACCCCAGTATAATGAAGCCAGGCAGTCTGATGACATGGCTTTATTGGATTATCCTATGTTATTAACCCTCTGGACTAATTATATAAACAAAATCTTTTTCCTCTTTATTTTAGCAATAGCTTGGCTACAACTGACTAGATAAAATTGAATTTAGTAATAGTATCTTTTACAGCAGCTATCTCACTTTTTAAACAAACACTAGCAGCAGACTTGCTTTAGACTTGTCAAAAAAGCTGAAAAATCTGGGTGCTTGGCAATACTTTTTGGGCAAATGCAGTTTGAAGTTAGGTAATGTTGATTACACAAAGTAGATCACATAAGACAGACCAGATAGGGTAAGATTCTGTAATGCAATTTCCTTTTTTCCATGAAAACAGTGGTAGGCTGTACTCTACTGAGGTGACTTAGATAGGCTAATGTTGTGGTTGACAAAGTAGCAGATCTGGACAAATGTAAAATTCTAATTTAAAAAAAAAAATAATCATGGCATTTATAAGCTACATAATGAAGCTTATAAGTGCCATAGATATTTTCTTAAGCTAAATGTAAAAAAAATGGAGAACTGGTTAGCAGGAATTAAAAACCAAGGTAACTGAATAAGTGTTTGCAATAAGGCTAATAGGATTGCTGGCTTCATATCAAGAAGAGGTTATATTTCAACTTTACATGTGTTATGCTTTTAATAAGGCTTCATTTGGATTATGTTACTCAGTTCTGTTCTCCATATTAGAGAATGGACATGAATGTGCTGGAAAATATGCAGATAATAACAAAGTTGAACCCAGGTATCAAAAACCTTTCTTTACAAATATAAGATTTGTTTAAATTTTTAACCTGAAGGGTTAGCCAACCAAGCTAACCCAATAAAGTTAGTGTGTCATTGGGGACTATTATTTTCACTGGGGTCCTTACATCTTGTCCCCTAGGATGTAACCCACAACAATCGACTAACACCCAGGTACCTACTTACTGCTACATGAACAGGGACCAACGTTTCCACCCATGCCAGGGACTGAACAACGGACACTTAGTATGCGAGGTGAGTGCGCTGCCAACAGAGTCATGGGACTGAAGGCACTGAATTTGCACTCTTCAAGGACCCCCAATGACATTTTGGGTTATTGTTGGTAATCTACACACATGCTGCTATGTATGATAATTTATGTAACTGCGTTTATGTGTGCCTGGACCTGAATAAAAACTTACTTCAGAGAGGCATAGAATTAGGGGGCACATAACTGAAGTGTACAAATGGAAAGCAGGAAAAAATAAAGAGAATATAAATAACATGCAAAAAATGATATTTAACCATGATGGGCCTCCAAGCAATGGATTCAAGAAAAATTTACATTTAGAAAGATATAGAGAAAAATTGGTTTGGCAACAGCGATATAGATAAGTGGATTATTATTATAAAAACATACAAATATGAGAATGAAGGAATGCAGTAGGCCTATTAGTCCATGCTAGGCAGATCCAATTCATACACCTGTCCAGCCTATATTTAAAGTCACCTAGTGTCCTATTACCAATTACTAATATATTTTATTTAGGGGGCAGCATTAAACCCACTGGGGGCCATACATAGCCTGGGAAATGGGAGGCAAACTACCAGGTAGCGCCACTTGGTCAAAAACCATGGGTAGCTCTCAATGTAGGTTAATAAGGTACATGAGTGGGTGTGAGTTGGACCTACCTAGCATGGTCCAGTAGGCCTACTGCAGTGTTCTTAAGTAATAATCACAAACTGTTAGTTTATAGGAAGGCGCTACTCACCCCCTGCCAACACCTGCAACATATCCTAATGGCGCTGGCATGCCAATGAAGTTTTTCTTGTTTTTATTAAGGAGGGCAGCAGGTGGAGCCGTCATTTTTGTGGTATGATCAAAAAAAATCCCAGCAATAAATGACAAAAAGCACAAAATAGCAGTAACACAGTTACTCCCAGCCGTTGTTGTTGTTGTTGTTGTTGTTGGGGTGTTAAGGGTCACTGTCAGCTCTCGACGTATCACGTTAAGGATTAAGAATTTTCTTGCATAGTTTACAATGTGTAGTTACAATTTTGATTTGTTAAGTACAAAGAAAGCCACTATAATGCCGGGGCATTTCGGCCATACTAAACCTAATGTTTAACAGACTACTTAATACTAGGCATATATAACAAAGTAAGTTTATTTAGGTATGGGTACACATAATACAATTACACTAATTTAGGTGATTATAATTCTCATACATAGTAACATGTGTAAATTACCTAGGATAACCCACAAAAGAGTCAGACGAAGCGACTTATTTTCATAGGGGTTCGTGAACGTAACACGTTCTGTTATTGTCAAAACTGGAAGATAAAAGAGCAGGAAAAAGGAGTCTCACGTGCAAATAGAAATATAAACTAGAAGTTCCCAATACCATCAGGTGAACTTCCTCCCCTTCCCCTTGCTCAAGCCCCAGCAGAATGGCAGCTCACCTAACTTAAGTAACTGGCTGCTAATTAAAACCGTAAAAACTATGTATACCTGGAGAAGGTTTCGGAGGTCAGCGCCCCCGCGGCCCGGTGCGTGACCAGGCTTCATAGTGGATCAGGGCCTCATTAACCAGGATGTTACTGTTGGCCGCACGTAAACCGACGTACGAACCACAGCCCGGCCGATCAGGTACTGACTTGAAGTGCCTGTCCAGAGCCTTCTTGCAGACAGTCAGGGGTCTATTGGTAATCCCCCTTATGTATGCCGGGAGGCAACTGAACAGTCTTGAGCCCCTGACACTTATTGAGTTGTCTCTTATAGCGCTAGTGACACCCCTGCTTTTTGGGGGATGTTGCACTGTCTGCCGAGTCTTTTACTTTCGTAGGGGGCGATTTTCATGTGCAAATTTGGTACTAATTCCTCAAGGATTTTCCAAGTGAATATAATCATGTATCTCTCCCGCCTGCATTCCGGGGAATACAAGTCGAGAAACTTTAAATGTTCCCAGTAATTTACGTGTTTTATCGTACTCGTGTGTGCCGTGAAGATTTTCTGTATATTTTCTAGGTCAGCAATTTCACCTGCCTTGAAAAACGCTGTTAGTGTGCAGCACTATTCCAGCCTAGATAGAACAAGCGATCTGAAGAGTGTCATCAAGGGCTTGGCATCCCTAGTTTTGAACGTTCTCATTATCCATCCTGTCATTTTTGTAGCAGATGTGGTAGATACAAAGTTATGGTCTTTGAAAGTGAGATCCTCTGACATTATCACTCCCAGGTCTTTCACATTAGTTTTTTGCTCTATTGTGTGACTGAAATTTGTTTTATACTCCGATACAATTTTTATTTCCTCAAGGTTTCCATAGTGGAGTAAATGAAATTTGTCTTCATTTGTGGAAATTTATTCAGTCCTAAAGTTCCACAGGGCAGATACGTTGTACAAAGATCCCAACATGACACGGATGAACGGCTGGGTCGGGTGGCCCTTACACCCACCCAAAACACACACACCCGGGTTGGCGAAGGTGGTTGGAAGGTACATTTTAATTGATAGATTTACCCTTCAGGGAAGAAGTAGGTAGTTTATACTGTTAGTACACTAATATTAGGATTATTGAGGCAACTGTAGATGATAATGTAGACCTAAGACCTTAATGTAGGTAGTAATAGGCTGATATTGTAGGCAAACACTAGGTTATGTTAGCCAGAGAGAACTGGCAGCCCAAGTTTGAATACTGGGGCACGGGTTTGAAACAGCAGTGCCCTTTCTTCTAAGATCAGACACCAACCAAGTAACAAGTGCCGTGAACATCAGGGCGGCGCCCCACGTGTCTACACATACTAGACCCTGGGGAAATCTGGTGGAGACACTTTGAAGTACTGTAGATGTCCTCCTCTGTCAGGCCCATACAGTAAGACGAGACCTCCCGTTCTTTCTCAGTTTCTGGCCAGTTCTGGGGGGAATTTGCGAGCGAGTTGAACTGTGGATCTTTGTGCAGCTGGACAGCCAATGAGCGGTACATGCCGGTGTCTCCTCGTGATAAGATAAGATAAGATTTCGTTCGGATTTTTAACCCCGGAGGGTTAGCCACCCAGGATAACCCAAGAAAGTCAGTGCGTCATCGAGGACTGTCTAACTTATTTCCATTGGGGTCCTTAATCTTGTCCCCCAGGATGCGACCCACACCAGTCGACTAACACCCAGGTACCTATTTGCTGCTAGGTGAACAGGACAACAGGTGTAAGGAAACGTGTCGAAATGTTTCCACCCGCCGGGAATCGAACCTGGGCCCTCCGTGTGTGAAGCGGGAGCTTTAGCCACCAGGCCACCGGGCCACGTGGTAAAGCCTTAGAAGCTAGTGTCACTTTCTGCATAGTTATACTAGGGGATACACACCCCCTTGGAAACAGGAATTTCTGATGTGCAGGCAGGTCACTAATATCGACTGAATATTGCAAGAATTAAGGCTCCTGGTTGCACGTGGTTCTGAGGGGAAGTCCAGAGGGGTTAAAGCTTAGGGAGGTTGAAGACCAGAATATATTCTCCAACACCAAGTAAGTTAGCCCTTTATTCGTGAATGTAGGCGAGATTTTCTTGCAACATCAGTCATTTGTGGAAATCTGTAATATAAATGTACAAAGAACCTTCACGGCGCGCATAAGGGAGATAAAACACCTCAATTGGTGGGAGCGCTTGAATTTCCTGAACCTGTACTCCCTGGAACGCAGGCGGGAGAGATACATGATTATATACACCTGGAAAATCCTAGAGGGACTAGTACCGAACTTGCACACGAAAATCACTCACAACGAGAGCAAAAGACTCGGCAGACGATGCAACATCCCCCCGATGAAAAGCAGGGGTGTCACTAGCACGTTAAGAGACAATACAATAAGTGTCAGGGGCCCGAGACTGTTCAACTGCCTCCCAGCATACATAAGGGGGATTACCAATAGACCCCTGGCTGTCTTCAAGCAGGCACTGGATAAACACCTAAAGTCGGTACCTGACCAGCTGGGCTGTGGCTCGTACGTTGGATTGCATGCAGCCAGCAGTAACAGCCTGGTTGATCAGGCTCTGATCCACCAGGAGGCCTGGTCACAGACCGGGCCGCGGGGGCGTTGACCCCCGGAACTCTCTCTAGGTAAGCCACTTATGAGGCTGAGGTGCCGACCTCGGAGCTCGGTGTCAACAGAGCTGGCTAGGGTAAGCAACTCACATGGAGGCAGTCTAGACAAATTTTCACATCATTGAACCTCATATTCATTCGTGATACCGTCTTTCTCAGAGGCAGCGGTCTTGCTCTTGGTGAGAGCTGCATCTGGTTCTGGGGTCCTCAACCTTTTTCGGGTCATTCCCACTTTTGCCAAAAAATTTCCCCTCCCCATGAATGTCACTCTTAACCATGGTGTTTTCATTTATTTACAAAAGGTTAAATTAAAACAAATTTTGGCAATAATGATTTTATTAGTGAGTCATAACACTCAAAGAATGGGAATGTAAGACTAAGTTGATAAAAATTAATTCAGGGGTAAATGAAAGCACTGGACAGCTACGTTTCAAACAAATATTGTCACTGCAACATTGTCGTGAAATGTGGCAGCACCACTTCATGCCCTGGCTATGTCTGTGTGTGACACAACTCACTGTGTTCCCTGCACCTATTTTCTTGCTACTGACTCTGCTATTTGTGGGTCTGGAGAGCACACCTTAGATCACACTCAACCTGAAGTTTGTTACGACTTTTTTACTTCACTGACGGAAGGGAAGTTAGTTAGTTTAATATGTTTATTATGCACCCCATACCCATCCTGTGGGCGGTCGAAAGGGAAGACAAGCTTGATTCGCACTGATACTGAAGAAAATAGGATCAGTACACAAAAAACGTTATTGCCAAGTCCAGGATAAATGTCACTTTGAATTTACTTAGACCCAAGAAGTTGAATTTATCGTTCGCTGAAGAGTTGAAGTTCTTTACATATTATTGTTCTCAAACTGCTGACTGACAAGCCAAGGTTGTAATCTACTCTTTGAAAGCATATAACTTAGCCAATTCATCAGTTCTATCATGTATCTGAAGACGGTACTCTCTAAGTCCTCCAGCTCAGCAAATCTGGAGTTTACCTGGAGAGAGTTTCGGGGGTCAACGCCCCCGCGGCCCGGTCTGTGTTCAGCTATCAAGACTTTGGGCCCCAGTTCCAGGACCCATTATGTACCTCTGTAATCTTTTGACTGCCGCCCACAGGATAGGTATGGGGTGCATGATGAAGACATTAAACTAACGCTGAAGAGTTATGTTTGAATTCAGAATTTCTTCCCGGATCTGATGTCATCTACATGGCATTTGAATGGATGCCATGTTAGAGCTGATGATGCTCATTAATGGGGGAGTTAAGGTGCTCTGTGATCTCAGCTTTGAGCACCAGGCTAATGTCCTTTTCTCTGATGACTTCAGAAAGTCGGTGGAATTGGGTCGCCTTTCCCAAAACTGCAGTTTTACAATGAATGCATTGATATTGTTTACATGATCGTTGATGTGTTCTGACGGCCCTGCAATTTCCAGCTAAGTTCATTTAGAGCTTCAGAGATGTCTTCCAAGTGTGCAAAATGTGCCTGAAATTCTGTCATGCTTATCTTGATTAGTAGCTTATCTTTAATGTGAATGACCAGGAAAGTCTTCACTGATTCACAAAGATCGTAGAACTGAATGAGCATCTTGCTCTGTGACAGCCACAGACTTGAGTGGGGAACAACAGTGCTTGGTGTTCGGCATCTATGTTTTCACACAGCTCACAGAAAAAAAACGTGTTTTGGGCTCATATGTTTAATTAGTCAGTTTAATATCTTTATTATGCATCCCATACCGATCGAGCCTCATATCATTGCGGGCACCATCTGTACACACTTCGATTATATCTTCCCATAGTAGTCCTTCATTATCAATGAAAGTT